GGAGTTGGAGGTTGCTGTGAGCTGTAATGCCACGGCACTCTATCCAGGGGGACAGCTTGAGGCTGTGTCTCAAAAAAAAAAAAAAAAGAAAAAAGAAAAAGAAAGAAAGAAATTGTTTACTGTCTTTTATACCCAGGAAACCAGCTTCTTCTTACATATCAGACTCAGCTGAAGTGTTACCTCCATGAAACCTTTCATGATGCCCTGAGCTAACTTCACCAGAGAACATGCAGACCTGGATATTGGCGCTCCCAACATCCCCGGAGGAGAGACCAATGAGCTAAGTACAAATTTCATCTTTGGAGGCTTCTAAGGACCAATCCAGGTTTCCTCACTGACCTCCATTCAATCCCTTCCCATCTCTGAACCCATTTGTACATCTGGAAAATAACCCTACCCCTCCTTTATATGGTCACAGGAATGCAGCACTTAGTCTTGAACAGGGTACTCCAATGATGTCATACCCCATGCGCCCATGGGAGACATGCCAGGTGGACAAGTGGCATCCAGAGATGAACTCAAAAGCATAGGCAGAAGACCCTATGTCTCTGATGCCCAGTGTACCAGATTTCGGGGGTGGTGGTACTACTTACCCCCCTAGCTTGTAGTTGCCTACTCCACCCACCCAGGCCCGGATGAACGCTGGGTCAGCCAGGAGGGAGACAGGGGTCACAGAGTCTCCAGGGAAGTAGGAGCCAACGGGGCAGAGGATGACGTAGAGGAGGGCTTGCGTGGAGCGGCTGACACCCAGCGAAGGCTGTGATGGGTAGAGGGGCAGCATCAGGAGTCCAGGCCCCCAGTCGTCCCCTTCAGAATCGACCCCCAAGCCCATCCCAGGAGCCAGGCTCACCTCGTTGCCAATGAGCACAGGCCTCACATAGAGGCTGGTGCCTGTGCTGTCAGGAACCCAGTCCTTGTCCACTTCGATGAGCCGTCGGATGCACTCAAGCAGCTCGCCCTTGTCAAAACTCTGGCGGTGCTCCAGGTGAGTCAGGGGCCCATCACCCATACCCCCCAACCCCCATGCCCTCTTCCCCAGGGCAACTCGCTCTCACCGGCAGGCAGAGGCGCAGAGCTGAGCGCAGCATCCGGTCCATGTTGAGCCAGGGACGGAAGAGACGCACCCGTTGGTCCCCGCCTTTGAACGCCTTCAAGCCCTCAAAGAGCTGTGGGGACAGGTGAACAAGAGTCTCAGGGCTCAGAGACCTCCCCAGACTATTATGGAGAGACAGCAAGAGACAGACACAGAGAGATGGAGACAGAGACTGAGAGTACCAGGGAGAGATGGGCACCCTAAGTCTCAGAGACGGGGAGACATATAGACAAAGACAGGAAGAGACTGAGAGCAAGTGGAACACGGACTCAGAGAGACTCAGAGAGAGAGAGCCCTGCTTAAACTTTTTCCTTTTTTTTTTTTTGAGACACAGTCTCCCTTTGCCATCCTCAGTAGAGTCTGGTGGTGTCAGAGCCCACAGCAACCTCCAACTCCTGGGCTGAAGCGATTCTCTTGCCTCAGCCTCCTAAGTAGCTGGGACTAGATGCCCACCACAATACCTGGCTATTTTTTAGGGACAGGGTCTTGCACTTACTCAGACTGGTCTGGAACCTGTGAGCTCAGGCAATCCAGCCACCTCGGCCTCCCAGAGTGCTGGGATTACAGGTATGAGACACTGCTCTGGCAACCTTTCCATTTTACTGTCAATATTTTTCAGGATGATAATTCATGGCCTTTTTTTTTTCTGATACAAAGTCTCACTCTGTCACCCTGGGTAGAGTGCCATGGTATTATTGTAGGTCACAACAACCACAAACTCTTGGGCTCAAAAGAGCCTCCTGCCTTAGTCTCCCATGTAACTGGGACTATAGGTGCCCACCACAAAGCCTGGCTAGCTTTTCTATTTTTTGTGGAGGTCTCCCTCTTGCTCAGGCTGGATTCCAACTACTGAGCTCAAGCAATCCATCTACAACCACAAAATAGCTGGGCGTGTGGCAGGTGCCTGTAGTCCCAGCTACTTGGGAGGCTGAGGCAAGAGAATTGCCTAAGCCCAAGAGCTAGAGGTTGCTATGAACTGTGATGCCACAGCACTCAACCAAGGGTGACAAAATGAGACTCTGTCTCTAAAAAATAAAATAAAAAGATTATCTTCTGTTTTCTTCTATAACTTTTATGATTATATATATATATATATGAGGCTCTGTCTCAAAATATATACATGTATATATATACATATATATATATATATATACACACACACATATTTTTTTTTTCATTTGAACTTTTAAGCTACTTGGAATTTTTTTCTGGTATGAAGTGTGAAGTAGGGATCCAATTTAATTTTTTTCCTAGATGGATATTTGTCTATCTACTCCATTGTTCAGTCTTATACCAGTGTCATTCTTTTTTTTTTTTCAGAGGCAGAATCTCACTTTGTCGCCCTGGGTAGAGTGCCGTGGTGTCACAGCTCACAGCAACCTCCAGATCTTGGATTTAAGCGATTCTCTTGCCTCAGCCTCCTGAGTAGCTGGGACTATAGGCGCCTGCCACAATGCCCAGCTATTTTTTTGTTGCAGTTTGGC